CCCCAAAACCCCAAAACCCCAAAACCCCAAAACCCCAAAACCCCATTCAATCAATGATTTTTGAATTGATTTCGTGCGAGATCATTGCTATGGCCCAACTTTAATAAATGTCAGTTTGTGATTGTGTGGTAAACTAGATCATTGATGAGCATTTTTTTTACAAATTCCCTGAATCCAACCCAAAGGACATGCAATGTCTGGAAGTGACCCAACCTTAAATTGCTTAGAATTAGCTTATGTTGCAACTCCGACCATATTGAGCACACAGAAATTATACTCATGGATGAGCTTAAGAGACCTGAGTGATTTGTTTAACTTGGTAATTTCTTCTTCTGAAAAGACATCGCTTTCGTCTAATTGCTGACTCTGAAAAGTCTTCCTTTGTTGCATCCTCGCAGATGATTTCATGATCATCTGCAGCAACTTCTGTGTAAGCTCATTAGCTTTCTGGTCTATCTGGGTGTATGCTCACAAATATGCATTTGCAATTTCAAATAAAAACTGGTATTCGAAGTATATCTGCTTGAGTATCTCTGGTGTCAGCTCGAATTCATACTGCGTGAGCAAATCGCTTTGGATGGAAAACAATTTCTTCGGGAAGAACAAACCTTTACTCTGACTCCCACTTCCATCGAATATTTTGATGAGGAAACTGCAAATTGTTTCGAGTATGTCGAACATGTATGGTCTTATGCTAGTCAAGGGGTTGACCTCCACCATCATCAGATCTTGAGACCTCGCCTTTGGAACCCCTTCAGCATGAGATTTCCTGATTTCACTGAGCAGCGAATCGAAGGACTCTTTGATGATCTTTTCGAATATAATATTTTTAGACCCCAGAAGTCCTCTACAGCATTCACTAAAGACCAGTTTGGACTTGGTCGAACAATTCTCAAGTGTGAATCCTTTGCATTTGTCAAGAAGTGCATCAGACGTGATTGGCTGTTTCCAGTAAGCTCCTCTGGCTATTTTGGCCTGAAAGTTCTTCGAAATCTTTTCGATCTTGGGGTGCAAAATGTTGTCGTATCTATACAATACATCAATCTAAGCAGAGACTTACATCGACTGGAAGTGGAAAAAGTCTAGTGTGCCATCCAAGATTTTGTCCTTGATAGAGATCAGAAACTGGTTGATGATCAGCTCCATCATTTGCTTGAGATGCGGCATCAGAAGAGACACTTCTTCTTTAAACATGCTAGTGAGCTTTTTCATGTCCTTTTCGTTCTGACTGCTGACTTCCTGCTTCAAGCAGTACGAGAAGATATTCCCGAGAGTGTTGAACTCTTTCGTCAGAAGACTGGTGAATTCCTTGATAAATGAAGGCTGGTTTTCGAAGCGCTCGAATGGAGTAAGCACTGTTTCAAGAATACTTTGAGAATCTAACTCTTCGTCTTGCTCTTTGTACACAATGGAATGCACTCCTCGAGATGCAAAAGCCTACCCCATTAAGTCTCAAATATTACCTCTGGTTCTTCTAAGCTAAGGTTTACATCAAAAGGGTCTGCTTCATTGGGGTTGAATTCCTGAAAGTTTTCGATCCACCCTACGAGCCTCAGTCCTGCTTCATTAATCAGAGCATATTTGTAGTTCTGGGTCGTCCTTTGTAAACATTTTTCTGAGTATTGGCTGCTGATTTGACTCAGTTCTTCTTTCAAGAGCAGCTTAATTTTCAGGAATTCATTTAGGACAGAGATCGCGTTGATCTTAGTTTGAGACTGAACCACCCACTCATCGTCGAGAGGGCCCGAGAAAATCCAATTATTCTTGTCACAATTCAAGAATAGTTGGTCGTGAAGATCAGATTCCATCTGAGAAAGGATCCTGAACTTTTTGACTGCAAACCTGTCAATGTTTCCACTCTAAATTGATTGGGATAGACTAGTTACCTTATTTAAGCCTCCAGAATTCTGGTTGCCTCCTTGTGTTCTGAGTAAACTTTGAACCTATTTTGATTTTAAGATTGGTAATAATGACAAAGTAGTAATGAACAGCCAACATAAATTAGAAAGGTATGCTTGCATAGACTCTTAAATGTAATAAGTAGCAATGATGATGCCCTAAATTTCCACGACTGTGTATCCCTTGGTTTAACCCATTCTACAAATCCATTAATACCTTGTGAGTGATCTTCTCAACGACTTCAGTATAGAGAGTCTTCAAGTAGTCTTCGCTCAAGCCCTGCTTGCTTTCGTCTGCTTCGTCAGAATCAGAGTCGTCTCTTTCGTCTTGATCGCCTATGTTTAACACAAGAGTTACTTTTTATCACTGCGAGCTTTTGATTCACAAAGTATCAGAACTGCTTGATGAACGCGCACGACAAGGGACAAGCAGGAGCCAGGCTCGAAGACTCTTCTCCTATGAATACGTTTTGTTAAGTGCAGAATTTATTGTTGGCTGTTTGTTTTGATCAGTATATGAATTATGTGCATGAAGACCCTTTGAAGGTGATGTAGAATACTCATTATTGCTCACAAAACTTGCTGCTTTTCTTTTTGTTGGCTTGGTCATAAACAGCCTATTGATCTCTTTTATTGTAGAAGATTCTTGTCTACTTGTAGGATTCCTTATAAAAGAAATACCACTTGAATCTCTTGAAGGTTCAATGATATCTTTAGCTTTAATGAATTCCTTTAGCCCATCTGCATTTAAAGAAGGCTTATTTTCCCTATTCCCTCTAGCTACTTTCGAAAATTGAAATGTCTTCTTGATACCTACAGATTTGAAGAAACTAATTACTCATTTTTTAGATTTTCCAATAATTTTATAAGCTAAAGGGGTTTTGGGGTTTTGGGGTTTTGGGGTTTTGGGG